CCATTGTTGATATAGCAAGTTCCCAACATAGTTTTATTTATACCAAACTCAATCAAAATATATAACTGTTCAACGGAGCTATTAAGTATATTAATGATTTTCGAGTTGAATTTTTTTTAACGCGAAACTTGTGATGTGATTATTTAATAATCAAAGAATAATGAAACATTTCTATGTAAAATATTTACGTCGTTCACTTAAGGGGGAGATTAATTGCTCGATAGAGTTTTTTAACAAAGTAACATTAGTGTCATATGTATTCATTTTACTTGAAAAAGTGTTTATCTTTAAGTCAGTTATGTAATACGATTGTTTTATTAGCTTATAAAGATCTGGAACACTTATAGATTCTTGACTACTTTCAGATTGAGTCTTTAAATTGCTTCTAAAACCCATTTTATTGGACGTTTAAATTTTTGACATTGTAAAAAAATATTGTTTAAACTGCTCAAAAGAAAGACAAACAGTGTTAAACATAAACTTAGTATGCTTACTAATACGTGAAAAATATCACTGTATAACCGACAACGTTTATTGGTAACATTCAGAGTTGCACATACTTAATAATATTGTATAAATTAAATTATTTTTAGGTTGAGTTAAGGGAATACATTTTTTTTTAAACTATTTTTATTGATAATAATAGTAAATTTAAATCTTCACTTTATTTAAGACTATTAATTTTATCAAGATTTTTACATTTTTCAAGTAGGAAACTAAATATTTTTTTTAGATTTAAGAAATACTTTAAGAGTATTTTTTTATTCATTTTTATATTTGTATATACATTTTTAGGTTATATATTGTTTACTTAATTTTGGAAAAAATCCAACATTTTCCATTTAAATTTATTAGTTCAGAAACTGCAGTTGACAGAATAATATAATTATGATTACATTTTCAGGCTTATAATATATTATATGACTTAATGGTTGGATTTGTTAATAAAATTAAAACATGAATTACTTAAATTTATAGCTTATATGTATTCAAATTAGAAAATTATTTCAAGCGTTATGAAATCTTGATTGTCTCGTTAGAATTTCCCCATTTAAAGTTGTACAAATGTAACCAATGATGAAATGCAATGAAAAATATTTGTTTGTTATTTTCATCATCTGGTATTTAGAATAACTTTAGAAGCTTCTAAATACTTACGCGTTCACTTAACTTAAAAAAACATTTGTAAGCAGTAATGATGCTTCACAAAAAGCTTCATGTGAAGGAATGATGTTCCACGGTAAGTTATCGATGTTGAGTAATTTGTAATTTGATATGAAATGAGAAAAGTTTAACATACTATTTAATTGATTATTATTATGAAACAATTATACATAAATGAACTCATTGTATCTTTATTATAATGGTTGTAAAATGATTTTCTGTAGTATTTTTTTTAGAAAGATATTTTTAATAAGATAATAGCTTATCTGAGAACTTGTAGAAATTTGAAGAAGTAAAGTAAAGAAAAATTGATTATTAAATAAATTTCATGTTTATATTGAGTAATTGCCTGAATACATAATAAAATTGTTTTTAATTAATTGGTACAAAGACATTTTAGTGTATCAAATATATCTTATCTTAGTTTTTTCTCTAATTAATTGGTAAATTTTAATTTTCAATTCTGTTTATAAAAACTATGAATAAATATTTATTTATCATCATCATTCTAATTATGTTATCAAAAAATCAATGATAATTTTTAAACTTTAATATTTCCTATGAAATTAGCTTAATCTTTTTTAATTATATTTCATAGAACAATAAAGAATTTAAATAGTTTCATTCTTATAATTTCAAAAATGTTTTTAATTATAAAAACTTTCCGAAGTGAAACTTAATTATATTACAAACTATTATGGCTTATGTACTTTATGAAATGATTCTAAGAAATTATTATTTATCAATTTAATTATATTTATTATTTTAAAAACATTTGTAACACAAATAATTTACAAGATAGAAAATTCTTTTGTTAAGTTTATTTTAAAATTTTTTATCATTCATTATTTATGTTTTGATCTCACATTGTTTGTTCTTCAAGATTTTATATTCAAAATATTTTACCAAATGTTTCACTGAAAGATATTTTAAAGTTTTATACTTCATTATATTTAAATACTCAACAATGGTAAAACTTTTAAGATGTTTTAAAATTAATTTCTTGAATTCGAAATAAATTATTTTTTACGTAATGTTTCGAGTTTTTGTGTTATGGATTATATTATTCAGTGGGCGATTGTTTTGATTTTTCAATAAATGTGAAGATGTAAAGTAATAAAAATAAATGTGATTTTGATAAAAAAAATTATCTCAGGAAAATATTTCTCTTTCTTGAAAATTATTTACAGGTTCATTTCATCATAATAAAGATCACAAATAATGTAACTTATTTTCAGAAACGTTTAGCAAGGTTAAGATCTTCTATTTTACATAGAATTCTACTTTTCCCAGTTAAGTTTATTTGTTGAAGTAGAAAAACGAAAATCAACGATGCACATCAAAATCACATTTGCAAGCATTATGGAAATCGAACCACAACTGAATACAATTATAATGTCAAAGTCTTGTACAGTTATTTTCAATTTACTATATTATTATAGTTGTTCAACTTATCATGGGTTAAACAGTTATTGTCCTTATTTTACTTATATATAAATAATTTTTTATCTTAAATACTTATATATAAAATATTTTATAATCATCTATTCACACCATATGTGTGTAAATAGGAATTAATTTTTAATTAATTAATTTCTAAAATATTTTGTATAATGAATAATGTTAGATGATAAATCAATTATATTAATATAAAATTTTGGTTAGATATTTTTACGAAAATTCTGTATTAGGTATGTAAAACAATATTTTAAATTCAAATACTATAGAAGTAATAATGAATTAATTATATTAAAAAAATAATAATTGTATTAAGTAGATATGTATTTTTGTAGATAATTACGATATTTTTTTCTTTAAAATACTTTAATTAGACTAATATAATGTTTTATTTTTATTAGAAATTATCCATTATATAATACAATGTTTTTTAAGATAATGAATAAGGACAATAGCATTAGTCACGCTACTGTATTTTTTACTTTTTGTGATCATCATCTTAATTTGATGATTTTCTGTTTCTAAATCTTTACAGCAACAATAGACTTTCATAATTTATGAATTCTTTCGTTATGAAATTTTGAAAATAACTCAAAGTTTTACACCACTTAAAGATAATTTTTTTATAAAAAAGAAAATTTTTTAAGAATTAATGACTAGTTTTTATTCTTCTTTGTAATTTATTCATAAAACTTATTATTAATGTGAATATTTTATAAAGTTAAATAAGTTTTATTTAGATCTTGAAATAAATCATTGTAATCATCATACAAATATAACGTGATTTTAAATTAATTAAAAAAAAAGTAGATGTAACTAATTTATACAGATTTAATGATTCACATAATGTTTGAACATCGAAGTTAAAGAAATATTTTTTTAAATAATTTTCATAAATTGTAGGATATTTTAACTTACTTATGAAAAATATATTAAACAACTTATTTTCCAAGAAAAAATTATAGAAGCTTATACTGACGTGTAAAATATTTATATTTGAGTTTTGATATACCTTGTAAGAATATTTAATATTATAATTTCCAAACATCTATTCTTTTTACATTTGTAAGAAAAAAAAAATTATTACGTTTGGAACTTTAAATTTTTTAGATATTTATGCAATAGAAACTACAATGTTACATATTAATTTTTAATTCTCGAAAAATATATAGATGTTTTTGAAACCACAATCTGCTCATCAATTTATAATGACAAATTTTGACAAGTTGATGTCTGTTTGTAATACATTATTTAATCTTTTTTGAAATATTTTTACTACATATAAATGAATATTGTAAGTTTTAGGATAAGCTTTGTCAGTTAAAAAAAAATACAACTTTAATAATTAGTTTAGTGTACTAATTTATAACTATATTTACAACTGGCAAATTGATAAAACCTTATATAGATTATGTGCATTAAAAAAAGTTATTCAGAACATACGATCAGGCAATATAAATTTTTATTAATTGTTTTGAAAATTTAGTAATGTACTGTTATCTAGACTATAATTATAAGAGTTGATCACCATAAAACAAAAAATATTTCTACAATACTATATAATCATCCGACATAAGTGCACAAACATGTGACTCTTTAAATTGGCTCAAACAAAACTTATAAATGCATATAATTCCGGGCTTATAATTTATAAGTTACAAAATAATTTTTATTTAACATAAATCATTGAGTACTTTAGTTATAAGATTTGTGAAATTTATCTGATCCTAGAAATATATTCAATTTTTAGCTAATCCTTTTTAATCCATCTATAAATTATTGTGTACCCTTAATTTTTTTTTAATTTGCCATTGTAAATTTACAGTATGTACTAAAATATTCTTTTTATTTCAATTTTTTTAGATACCAAGTTTGTTTACGATAGCCTAAAAAATGATACGTCTCCAATAATGTAACAATTATGTCTTATTTATGGAGCTTTAATTTGGATTAAAATTTTTCCATTTCCTCAGTCAATGTATTTCCGAAAAGTGTATGCAGAATTTTCGTTTAGCATTTACATTGAATTCCGGTTAAATGTATTTTAGGTACGTTGTTCCAAAAGTAATATGTTGTTTTATTATAATTTTTCACAGAGGAAAATAATCAAATACAAAAATATATATAACACATTTCGTCAATTTAATTTTAAATGTCTTCTGATATATTTAATAAGTTAAGTAATACATATAATCATAATACTTAAAATAAATAAATTGTATGTACATAAATTTATAATAAGTTGAACACTATGTATGTTTTGGTAGGCGGGGAAGATGAATGCGTTTATTTTTTTAGGTAATTTAAGGTAAGTTTTTACATGAAAATACATTCACAAATTTTTTTTTTAGATAACTGATAAAGTATATAANGTAGGCGGGGAAGATGAATGCGTTTATTTTTTTAGGTAATTTAAGGTAAGTTTTTACATGAAAATACATTCACAAATTTTTTTATAGGTAACTAATGAAGTATATAGTGTGATTTATTAAGAATTCTACCCTCCAAATAATGATTTTTTCACAAAAATGTGATAGATATTAGCATTTAAAGAACTAAAAAATATGAAGAGGGTAGCGTTAAACGATGCTCTATTTTTAACATAATATACAGTTAAAAATTTTTCCAGTTGGTGCAGCCCACTTGCCTATAACTAAAAATAGTTTTCTATTTAACTTTTGAGAGATAGTAAAAAATGTACTTTTAGAAATAATTTTATCTTACATTAAATTTGATAGTTTCTATGATTTATAGAAATAAATCAAATTTTAATCTGTATATTTTATGAAAATCATTATAGGACAGAAAGAATGGTGGGTAATATTCTTAATAAGTTACATTTGTTATAAAACAAATAGTTTTAGTAAAAACGACGATTATCGTAAGTTTTAGTTGATTTGTTTAGTTTGTTTACAATATATTTAGAATTTTTACGCTTCATAAACTTTCTCACAACTGTTAGTGAGTATCACGTTATATTTATACAATTTTCATTCTTAAATAATCAGACAAGAATAATTTTTAAACCATAGAAGTAATAATTGTTGTTTAATAAAAAATAATACATTTTTATTAAAAAAATTTTAAGGTATTAATATTAGTTACAACTCAATATTTTATTAAACAAACTAAAATAATAATTAATGATTAAAAAAAAATTTAGTTTAAATTTGTGGTAATTTTGCACTTAAGTTAATCTGAATTTTTCTTGTCGTTTAAAATAAACTTGACTATGACATAATATTCTCAATGTGATGATAATTGTTGTATAATTTCTGCTTTATTAGACTTTGAAAAAGCCAGAATTGTATACATTTACAATTTTGAAAACAAACAGAAAAGTATTATGTGTTTTATTTTGAACATAATCAATTATCGATGTCTAAAAAGATGTTTTGCCTTGTTATTTAGGTTATGGCTTTCAAAGAGATTCTGTGTTGTCATTTGTTCAGTAAACAATCGCGTTGTGGTATCAGCTGAAAATGAGATTGTTTCACATTATCTAGTGTTGATGGTTTCGTCATACTCTTACTGAAATGCTGGTTGCTTTTTTCAATTTCTCCCACCCCCAAATAAAAAAATAACGACCTCCTATACTTCCAGAATATATAATTATATTTAACAACATATTTACAAAACATTATAAAATAACACGATCAATAGAATTAAAAATGCAAACACAGTAGATTTTGTCAAATAAAATCATAAGTTTAAATTAAATCACGAATACATTTTTTTTTAAATGTGTGTTATGACTAGTTTACATTGAGTTATTTTAATTTAATTATTTTATTTTAATAATTTCTTTTTGTTTTCTTGACATTTTTTTGATTATATGGATTTGGAATATCAACAACCGATTCGACAACATACTTTATGTGTATATAGTTATATAGTATATAGTTGATCTCCAATGTATTTCGATAGATAATTCATTGGAAGTTTGTGATCCATGTATCTATTAACATCACATTACATATTCGTTACTTAAATTCACTGCACATTCTAAAAACAGTTTTACTTAGTTTAGATAGTTCATTAAATTTGACTTAGAAGTATTCAAAGCATTTTTTGTGAATTATATTTATTAATATTGTAAGTTCGACGAAATAATTGGAAGGATAACATATTTAATAAATGTCAAATTCGTGCATTTGTAATAAATTGTATCATTGACAATTTTTTATGTAAAAACTAAAAAAGTCTGTGAACTGTTTAATTTGGTTTTTAATACATCATATCTATCGTTTGGGATTTTTACAATTTGTATTGTATTGAAAAATGTAACACATCAAGATTAGAATATATGTGTGTGTAGTTAGACAATAAGCAAGACAAGCCAGTCAACTCTTAGTTGCTTGTAGAGTTTGTATTTTAGTTATCTGTCCAATAGGTTAAGTGCTGTTTGTATTGTATGTCTCACGGGACCGGATTTACAACTTCCTGGTTGGCGGCGGCGGCCACGACTGCCGTTTATTTCGTTTCCGGTACTTACAAAGCAACACCCGCTTAAACGCTTGCCTAAACACTTTGTTAAATATCGTATAAAAAACAGGATTCACCATCGAACTGGCATAGCCCAGCCAAGTGACTAGATCCATGACGCCTTTGCTGATGTACGCCTCGCATGTTGGGCAAATTGATGGCACTAGGTTAAGAGCGAAAAACGGCGTCCACAGTACTACGAACGTAAAGAAAACGACACCTAGCACTTTTGTGGCTTTTTGCTCCAACCGAATAATTCGACCATGTCTGTATGAATTCCTGATCATCACGCTTGATCTACTGATGTTTTCAGATCTTTGCGGTGTGTTAGGACGTGAGGAGTTTGCGGTAGCTGGAAGCCCTAGTGTGGATCCATATCGCGTCATATGTGTCTGCTGTTTAGAAGATCCTAGTATCGGTGTTTTCTTTCGGATTAATTTTTGAGTCATGGCACGCCTCAGGGGTTGATTTAATCCAGCTACTGAAGTTTTTATCAAATTAGACGATGGTGTCCATCGGGTTACCGTATCGACGGTTGACAATTGTTTAGGCGGTGGCGTTGATGATACAACAGCACCTGACATAGAATCTTGGTGGTTCGGAGGTGGTGGCAGAAGACAGATTTCCTCGTCTAAACCAGGTTTGCGTTGATACTCTGCTTTAAGAAGGGTACCTACAATTTTAGGTTCATTTTCGTCACCACCATTAATCTGTTCGGGGTCGGGTTGATCTGTCCTATCACGAAATTCATCTTCGTGGAAACTTCTCATTCGAACCGGTCGGTTGTGTTGTTGGCTGTCAAATCGTCGACGCATTGAATCGTGTAATGTACCTGATCTTTTTCGACGGCGTCGTCGTTGTCGTTTGATACGTCGATTGTGTGGGGTATCCGTTTCTTCAGAGTCTACGGATTCATTGAGATAATGTTCCAAGTCATTTTCACAATTCTCATTATCTCCATCGCTTTTAGTCGAAGATAACCTATTGTTAAACAAATAGGATAGTCATAAGTTTAATTAGCTATCGAGTTTTCATTTTATAAATTAATTAGTAATATAATGAGTTATATTTCATAACAATTTTTAAATATTTACTCATAAAGTTATTAAGTGGATTTGTCCTGGAACGTAGAAATTTTGAATTTAAATCTAATATTTTAATATTTTAACAGGTAAAATTATATGCAATAATTTTGCTGTAATGTTTTTAGTAAAACTTTAAAATTTAATTATTAATGAAAACTTACATAATTTAGTTTCTAAATTTATTTAAAATGTAAATTGTTTTAAGATGATTTTTTTGACAGCATGATAAGCCTCGATGATTTTTCAAGTTGTATGCATGATAGTATGTTATATATTAGATTTATTAGTTAAAAATATTTTATAATAAAGTTTTGTTTTCATACTCAAATATAAAATTAAGTATAACTCTAAATGTTTTAATATATTAATGATAAAATGCTCTCCGAGTTATATAATATTCAATCTTTAATTTGTAGCTAAATGTAATAATTTCATTTTAATTTTAATCTTAGAAGTGAACTACTAGTGAAACGTTTATTCGGTTGTTATAGATTATTATTTGATATAATAGATTTCATGTATTAGAAATTTAGAATTTTCTTATGATAGTTTAGGTTACCTTTGGAAAAAATTTAAGTAGTTAGGATTCAAAAAAAAAA